CTGCTAAAGACAACAATTGCACCGAATACGGCCGTCTTTTTTCAAGCAATTCTTTTGCTTTTAACTGAAAGAAACGCAGCAATTAAAATCTAGCTCCCTTTTGATTTCTCCACACACACGTAGAGACAAAGCGAGTGAATAATCTAGGAAGGAAAAAGTGAGAGTTCGAAAAAGGGGTAGAAAGGGGTGCACGAAAGGAAGTAAAGACAGATAACGTTAAAGAGTGAGGAAAAAAGAGCAAAAAATCAATTCGACGCGTTTACGTGTTGTATTTGAAGAGGAAAAAATTAATAGGGTTTCTTTGAGCGATATTTTTCTGAAAACGTTTTTTTCTAAAAGGTCTTTTCCTGCCGCCTTTAGGAGGAAAAAAGACAACGGCGGTTTGATTCGTCAAAAAAAGAGCCTCTTGCAGGTACACTCCAACGCTGTGTGCAGAAATAATGACGCAATATGGTTTCCACGGTGATGGAGTCGTGCAGTGATTGGACAAGGTTTGTAAGCGGGACAGAAAGGATTTGCCGGCGGAGTTTAAGGGCTATGATACAGAGAGCGAGGCGGAAGGAAGGAAGGGGGTGTGAACACGAAAGGACAAAGCAGTGGGACCGGCTATGTTTATAGGTGGGCAAAAGGGAGTTTTCAAATCCATTTTCTCTCTCACTGATCTGGTTAAATGAAATTTTAAAAAGTCTATTAATAGTTAACTATTGTATAATGTGTTGATGTCCTACATATTAATGGATATATTACTTGTTTCAATTCAGAATTATCTGATTTATATTCAAACAACATTGCAATATTGCAGTGATTTTAAATGTATGAATGGGTTCAGACTAAGTTGTACATTTGTTTCAAGTTGTTAGTTATACATTTGTTTCATCGTACGTGCCGGTGAATTTGTTTGCAGAAACATTCTATTCATTGGTGAAAATTTGTACCTGAAATAATTTTCCTTCTGATTATAATAATATCGTAATATGAAATAATATAAATGATATAATTTCGATCGACGAATTACATTAGTTACTTGGAAACCCAGTAGAGATGTTATGTTACCATTTGTTAGTGAGTATTTTCTAAATGCGCAGTTTTAAACCCATTTTTATTTTCAATTTACTCTAAAAAATAACTTTCTGGAGAATTTAAATTAAAAATAAATTACAATTTATCGTACGTAATCCACTCAATTGCCAATCTAATATCATCGCTTAAAGTATCCTGATGATGAGAATTATTTCAGGCGGTTCACGAAGAAGTGTTTTACTTTTCCACAAGTCACTTTCTCTTATTCGTCTCCAGAGATTTATCAGTGTTAATAACACTGAGTGATATTTGCAACCCACTTTTAGGCCCCGCGTTCGCTTGTCCTCAACCTTCTCATCCGCCCACTGTACGCCGACGCCGACGCCTCCCAACGGCGGCGTCTGAGAGCAGGCGGGACGTGCCTGATTGCAGGACGTGGGCGGCGGCGCCACCTGGCAAAGGAAGCCGCCCGCGCCCCCGCCCCTACCTCCGTCGCGCGACAA